ACACGAGCCGTTCTAAACTTCGTCCCCGTGAAATTAATATATATAGCCTATGTTACTCCAGATAAATTACCTTTCTAATGGTGTACGAATTTTTAAAATAGGCCGCGTAGTTTTTACGTGAATCAAATACATACAAAAATACAAATCTGTTCTCTAACATTAGTATAGAAATATAGATAGGTAAAGCCCTTCCTATACACTTTTAGTTTACCTGTTTGTTAAACTGTACATTTTTCAGTTTTAGCTACACACGTCAGTCTTCGCTGTACAATTCGAACTTTAAAAACTAAAGGGGGCTGAACGCTGACGGGGGTCGTAACGGTAAAACCTAATTTTCTAATAAGTACTATGTTGCAGTGAATATAGCACACATAGAAACCGTGTAAGATATAAAAATATATTTGAATAGATATAGGACGCTTGCAACGTGGTGTGGAAGGTTGCCAAGAGGTGGTTTGGCAAAGCTGACACGTATTCATCAAGTTAAGTGCCCACGACAATGTGCCATAACCTCTGGAGCTATGTCACTGGGAGTAGTTTAAGGGCTAATTAAACAGTTCCTTAGAGTTTGTTCCTTAATTACTTTCAGTTACTCTCTTAGTGACAATAGAAGCGTAATTTCGTCAGGCGTTATTTCGGTCGTCAGCCCGTATGCGGGGACTCCCCGCATACTGGCTAAGGACTGTTGAATGAAATGGTCGGTCGATGTAAAGCAACTGTCTTGCGGGGACTCATACTGTAACGCACGGTAAAGAAAAGTAAGGACTAGGTCCACCGCATGCGGGCCCTAACGACTAAAAGGTTATTTCTCCCTTAGGATACCTATACTTTTAAAATTTAAAACGCAATAAATATGATGAGTCATGTTTTCTAAAAAATAAAATGTAGATAACAATTGATTATTAACCATTATCCTCGTCGTTAATCTGATTATAAAGAAATATGTGCAAGTCATCTACATACATACATCATACTATTATAATAAAGCGTAAACACACACTTCTTTGTTGCCTAAGATGCAGCAATTACAGCATATTTTCGATTTTTTTAATAAACGGCCCTACACTTACGTCACGCTTTAGGCTATATATTTTCATGCCGTTAAACTTAGGGGTAAATATTTTGGATAAAAACTCTAATGTGAGAAAGAGACCATAAGTTGTTGCCAACATTAAGAAGGCAAGGTTGCCGTGGTTTGATATCATGTCGTCATTTTGACATTTGCAATTGATAATTTGACAATTGTAAACAATTAAATTATTTTTTATAATTTTATGCAGATGAAGTCGCATGGGAACAGCTAGTTCTTAAATATTATAGGAGTTCTCGGAAAAATATTTTACACAACAAAAATTGGTAAACACTTGACAAAAACGAAAACAACATTTACACGTAAATTATCGGGAATTTATGTTACCCGCATCGAATATATTTGACGTCACTGGTTCAAAATTAAAGTCATTAATCCGTTGGCATTTTAATATCTGTGCCGAACGCCAGAGATATAAAGCCCGCTACACACGATTAATTTCAACAGCATACTTTCAACTGAACAGTAAAACTGAGAACTGTACAGAACAAGTAAAGTACAGAAATTATACAGTTTGACTGTTCATTACTCTGAACGTGTAAGGCGAGTGTAAATTAACGCGTGAACCATGCGAGAGGCATGAACATTATTTACAACGAATACATTGCCAATTTAACAACCTTAAGCTGCACTTCCACTGGAAATTGAGAATGGATTATTAGATTATTAAATAGTAACGCATTTGAAGGAGGAGATCACAAAGGAGATTAATAAACCACATTTTGTGTCAACCATAAGCGGTATTCACTCTTACAATTCCTCAGTAAGAATGTGTTTTCTGAAATTATCATGGAAAAAAAAAACAAAAGTGAATAGCCTATGTTTTTTTTTCAGATTATCATCAAGATTCGTTCAGCCGTTTAGAGTACAAACTATTACGAACATCCATCCATCCACCCATCTAAACTTTCGCATTTATAATATTAGTAAGAAGTAAAATTTAATACAAAGACACGAGTTTTAGAATAATATTTCTTTTACGTAGAGACGTCCGGTAATAACATTAATATGTTGTCGGTACCACAACTGAACACATTCTGAGAAATGTTTCCTCTCATTGACGTAAATGTTCAACAGGCATGTTGCGTGGCACAATTCAACTCCGATGAATAACATTGAGGTTCGGAATTCGAATGCAATTATAGTTGCTGTACTTAGTTATACTTCTAGTTATAAGCGTCACCTGCCGATGTAGTAGACCAGGTCTAAGGGGGCAGCTGCCCCTTCCTGCTTGAGTAGTAAACGGAATTTTTTAGCTATAATTTATTGAATTACAAAACTAAGAGAGTGGATAATCATGTTACAAAACCAACTTCTTAATCTCTGCTATAAAGTGGATCGTTTTAAATAAATATATAAAAGTTATTTACAATCCGTATGTTGTCGGCGAAGTATTTTTACCACAGCAGGCCGCGGCAGCTCGGACGTCGCTGTGTCCTACATCAACGCTAAATTATTTTTAAACGCCATTAACATTACCGAGTTACAAATTAAGTATAACTACATATTTGTTAAGCCTACGTCCCCTGAGCCCTCAATGTGAGGGCGTTCGGAACCTAAATTAAAGGTGGTTAGGCCATAGCACATATTTTAGCGACTCTAACCACCCAAAATTCCAGGTTAATTGAATATAGTTATTCATTGCTAGACACAAGTGGGACCCTTTTGTCTTAGGTACATGCATTTACACCCTATTCATAATCAGCCATCGAGTGACATCCTAATGACGTTTTCTCGGGTTACGTAACATCAGCCCGTGTGGTGAGGTAAGCGCTCGCTCGGTGCCACGACTCGGGCAGCTGGACAGTCGCCAGGAAATACCGACTTCTTGTTTACATTCGTTCCCCCTCATTGCGTAGTTACAGGTCACAAATATACCTTTGTTAATTGTTATAGTCATGGAAAATAATATGCTCATGGGGGTTACGAGTAAAAAGATAGAGAAGGTAAATATCAAGTCAAGTAACAGCCCTATCTACAGGCTGCCAAAGGATCAATTATAAAATCCGACATCTAAAATCGACCACATCATCACACACAGAAAGCTTATGTGCTAAAGTTATTTCGTCACATCAAGCGTGACAAATTAAGCGTTAAAGAGGAGAATGTAGCGTACAAGGTAAGGAGATCGCGACAAATGATAATCAGTTATCTCTACGTGTGTCGTATGTTGCTGGCGTAACTTCTTTTTTATTTTTTAAGTTTAATAAAGGCGGACGAATGTACCTGCGTGTTCCTGGTGAAGCCGTATCCGAGGAAGCGCTCGTCGTGTGGAGGCACGGCGTCCGGCGCCACGTAGAAGGGCTCATACAGAAGCTCGAAGTTGGTCACGTCGTGGCTCACGTGTGCATCTGCGGACTCATTGCCGCCGCTCGCCTCCCACCTACCGCCATCACACCACATTATGCACCAATGTTAACACTCGCTAGACATACATATATACTCGTTTTATATGTCAGACTATCTGCAATTACTCACCTAGAAAAATTTGATGCATACTGATTGTAAATAAAGACTTTTCTATGAAAAGGTATCGCCAACTTGTTCTTCGACAGACGCAGTAATTCGGACTTATTCGCCGGAAACTCGGCGACTCTCTTATCCAACTCATACGTGGGCACCACGTACGCGCACAGCGGGCACTTGGGCGCCTTCGACAGAAACGTATCCAGCGCCTCCGCCATGCCCCTGGAGGGCACGATGTCGACGTCAACCAAGAATACATAGGGCGTGTGGCAGTTTCTTCTCGCAAGGTTTCTCAAATGGTTCTGGGGATAGGGATGGCGCGCTCGCCACGCCACCGTGTCCGCGCGGCGCTCCGCGGGCGGCAGCGGTC